GCAAAAAGGAAGGGGACCTTGGGTTGATCGGAAGAACTGGATTTGACTCATATTTACTTTAGTAATAGTGTGACCTTGAGTGTGTGACATTTAACCTACTTGAGCTTTATTTTCCATATTTGTGAAATGAGGAGTAATTCTGACCTCAGAAGAACTTTTTGAGAGGATTGGATTAATTCATGTATAACCTCTTTATCCCATATAGCATTTGTAATTTGTAAGTGAAAGAACATTTATGAGATATTACTAAATATTTCTTTAATAACTACATTCTCTTTGGTGTGATCCAAGATTTTCTTTATGACACTTCCTTAAAATGTTGTTACTGTGAAACCTCAGTGTGGATTTTAGTAATAAATGTATCTGCTAGAGTACAGACAAACCTAGACAGAGTAGCATCTGTATTAAATGTGTATGAATACTTAAAATGGAGATAAAATATTTTAGCATTATCTATAACATTTATTTATCAAATATAATCTTAATTTTCATGTAATGCAGCCTAAACTATTTCTTCATTATGTCATCAATTACTCTACTTTGCAATCTAGTCATACAATGTTGTTCACTAGCTGCTTCTCTGTATTCCACAATTTCTGGAAGGGAGCAGTAAAGTCTGTGTTCTCTTTCTGACAAACATATTTAATATTTGAGTTTTTTGATAAGTATCTAAAAACAGCTAATCATGATTATTTCTCTAAATTGAGACAGGAGAAAAATAACAAGCATGAATGTAAAAGTTATCTGGTAAAAATACCAACCAAAAACTGCATTACTTATTTCTTTAGAAAATCAGCCATTGAATCATTCTTCCTTCTGATTTTGCTGCTGTCTCTGACTTTCCTCAGCAAAAGGGAAGATATATCAAAAACATGTGTATTTTTACAATGAGCTCATATTTCTGGCATATCTTTTTTTTAAAATAGTTCTTTCATTCAATCAAAGATAAACTACAGTTGTGATGTTTTTCTTCCACTTTTTTTTATCATGCTAAAAACAGGTTACAAAGTGTGAAATCGCTCAATTTTATGAGATTTCCCATGTGGATTTCCTTCAACTATTTTTATGCACATTTTAGTAACCAGGTTTCTCTTCATCTCTGCAATCTTATAAAAGGCACAGGATGATGAGTGTTTGTAATATTGATGATTATGACTGAGGCGTATATTTTTGTGCTTGGGTGTATATAGGAAAAAAGTCAAAATGTATCGTCTTACAGATAACCACATCCTGATTATTTGGATAGGGAGGTATAAAAATAAATGCTGAGTTTAAATACACACATTTAATGGTTTAAAGCCATGCTTGCAGCCAGTTAACGAAAAGGCCAAGTTCCTAAATATGGCATTTGGTACACTAATGAAAACAAACACCCTGGCACCTGCCACACAAAAGACATTTGATTAACTAGTTGAAACTTGATTGCTACAAAATTAGAAACAGAGGAAATTATAGGGAGGGAAGGGAAAGACCAGGTTCAGCTCCGTTTTCCTATTTTGTTGATAGTGGATAAATATAGCCCATGACTAAAAATCTACCCAGCCCCATGTACACTCCAGATCACAGAAAGAACATTCAAAGGATATTCATTGTGTGAATACATGATAGTGGAGGTGTTTGCAATTTTTTTTAGTACAGCTATACTTTTCATTGAGTAAGTTTTGAATAACTTTCCTCTAATGTGAGGAGCTTCAAAAGAGACAGTGGGCATGGGCTCTGCCTTATAAGAAGATTAAGCTCTGAAAGTCCAGCAGTAAAGTAACTGATTTAATTATATTTAAACTAGGATTAAATGAGAAGTCTGTTAAAATGAAGAAAGATGTTTGCATTATTGAGAATCAGTGCTGCAATGAGTCATTGTTACTGTGAAAAATGATCTCTCAAGTGGGCTCTGTGGGGAAAAGAAAAGATTGGTTGCCACTGATCCAAACTATCTCCCTTTGAGGGCTGGTGTTGAAGAAAAACAAATCACTCAGGTGACGAAGGAAATTTCTCTTCAACAACGTCTGACTTAGGGATAGTAGATCTAACCATTAGAAATTCACAAAAGGACTGAGTTTTGGGGTTGATTCTTGATAACTTCTGGGATAATTTCTTGATTAGAACTATTCCAGATAGACTCTATCCACCCTATTTTCAACAGAACTTAAAAATAAAGCCTTAATTAAAGATAAAGGACCTTAAAAAATTAATTATTATTATTTTTAATCCTCTTCTGCTTTGGCATTGCAGACATTTAAGTGAGATTTAACAGGACATGTTATGAAGGGTCTCTAGTTCTGACATTGGGAAATGACTGTGTGTACCTGCACACAACACTCCCCAAATCTTCTTTCTCTGAAAACGGGGGTGGTCTTCTAGGCAAGTGGTGGATCAGCTTTTGGTCCCGCAGTAAATCTGTAAAACGGAGTAAGTTCTTCAATGTACCCTTTACCCTGCCCCATAAAGTCGTGGTCACCCAGGTCTTTTTGATAACAGAGGAAAGCTTCCAGGATAGTAGATAGCAGAATAACTATCATTTTTTATTTTAAAGATGGGCCTAAAAGGGACAGTGGTTAACACAAAGTCTGTGTGGCTCGCTGTGATAGAAAGAGACCTGATCTAGAGGTTCTGAGACTCAGGCCCTGCCTTGGCTCGGCTGCTATTTCACTGTATGATTTTGGGCAAACCCTTTCCTCTCTAGACTGAGTAAACTGAGGTTAGTCTCCCTGACCTCTAAAGTTGCTTCTTGCTTTTGTAAAGTCCGTTTCTGAATCTGGCTGTTTTCTGGTGGAAGCACAGACTCTGTATGTAGGTAGTGATAATAGTTGGTGTAGGTTTGGCTGGGAAAACCTTTCTGCTGTCCCTCAAATCAGCTGAGTCTATGCATAAGATTTTGCATCTAGGTTTTCACATAAATATGCTCCTCTTGAATTTTAAGTATTTCTAGCTGAAAAGACAGGGCCTTCAAATCTTTGATTTTAAGATTTCATTTATGGTAAGCTGTCTCATTTTTTTTCTCTTCTTTTGCGGTACGCGGGCCTCTCACTGTTGTGGCCTCTCCCATTGCGGAGCACAGGCTCCGGACCCGCAGGCTCAGCGGCCATGGCTCACAGGCCCAGCCGCTCCGCGGCATGTGGGATCTTCTCGGAACCGGGGCACGAACCCGTGTCCCCTGCATCCGCAGGCGGACTCTTAACCACTGCGCCATAGCATGGAAACCCAGCAATCCCATTTTATAAATGTACTTTAACAAAGAAAAAAATGCTACCGATTAAATTATGCCATGCTATCAAGTGTAAGACATTCCAATTTCAGAGATGTTAAATGTGCACAGAATGGATGAAATATGCTATATCTATTTACTTTCAAATGTTTACTTGGATTTTTTTTTTCATCATGCTTAAGATAGTATACTCAATTCCCCCATACTTTCGAAACAAACATTGTTAGAGCTGAGGGAGGATCCAGATTCCCTAACATGCAGCAGTTATATCTGCTCTTTTGGGGTCAGAGAAAGAAAGCATTGTACAATATTTAACGCATTATCAGTTATAAATTTTAAAAATCACATAATGTTAAAAAATTTAAAGATTTGATTGATTACTTATTCCTCTGCATTTGTAGTTAACAGTCTATCAAAGGAAAATAATCATTTGAATATTTTCAGAGTACTCACAAGTCTTAGTATTAGTGGATACAAAATCACTATTATCAAAAGCTCCTATTTTGGTTACAAAATAGGAATTTTTGAAAATATAAATTTTCAGGTATCTGAAACACCACCAGTTTCACATATACACATATTTTTTCACATATGTACATATATTTTTCACACAATGTTTTTCTAAAAATCTTTAGATAAACTAATGAGTATTTTAAAAATAAAAATTTTCAATCAATAAATAGACATTCACCATCAGAAAAATATTTCTGTGATGGTGAGGAAAAACTCAAAATGCTAAAAATCAAGAAGAATGATTATTTACTGGTATACATGTGTTAACTGATTTTATTCTGTCTGGCACCATTTTTATTCTTTTTAGACATTACTGCCTTCCAAAATCATAAAATTTTATTGTTAAATATCTCAATTTTTTTTTTCTATTTGGAATTTTCAATCATACTACTAATATCTTTCTCGCACAAAGTTAAGAAGGCGGAAACCTACAATAACACTAGTAAGATCCCACTATTAAAAAGCCCAGGTATGTATGTTTAACAAACTATTTAAATGTTACTGTAAACTCCTTGAGGGTAGGAACTATGACATGTTCACTATTGTATCTCAGCACCCAACATAACACCTGGCAGAGAGTTAACATTATGTGTTGAATGAATGAATGAATGAAGCAGCCCTATGTAGTAGGTAAACAAATGTGGGACAGATACTAACTTCCCAGTTTTATTGATATGGAAACTAAGGCTTAGAGATAGGAAGAGATTTGCCCAAGTTTTACACCTACAGTAATATATTATGAAGTTCATGCCAAAATCCCGGTACGTCCATTAATGTTTCACATCACAGATTCTCATTCTAATGAAAGAGACATGCATCATTATTCCGTAATCATTATACCAGTAAAGTTTCAGATTTCTCCTTATCAAACACTAATTTGTGCTCAGATCCCTGAACTATTATAAGTTTCTTCATGTAAAACTATGTTATCTAGAAAGACAAGAGAACTTTATGTATGATTGTGTGCAATTCTGGTAAGGGAATTTGTTCTTTAATTCTAATAATGAATAATGGGGAAAATAAGAATCTTCAAAACTAGAGATAGGGAAAAGCTGGTAGAGTTGCACATATACATTCTGTTTAGCCATTTGATACGGAGGTCATTTTTATGTGGTATAAAAAGGTTTTCAAAGGGTAAAGTTGGATAACTGCAGTTAAACATGGCATATATTAGCATCAGGGTAATGTGGAATACTACCACCTCCTTCACCCTTTACCCCACTTTGTACTTACATATACTATTTAATAAAATAGAATTATAGCAGGGTGATAGAAAATAAAATATAATAAAGAAAGTAATATTGATTGGGGGAAGGAAATTTTACTAAAGAGAGTTATAAATGGCAATCACTCTTAACATTTAATGTTACAGTATATTATGCATTATTATTAATTTCAGCCACAATATTTTATGAAAATATTAGCATACAACTATAAAGAATATTATAATGAGAAGAAAACAAAGGGAAGAAATCTGTTATACTTAAAACATAATTATTCTTCAAACTCTAATTATATTAACAAAACTAAATTTTAATTGAATTTTAATATGATTTTATATGATTTATATTTTGTTTTATAGTTCCTAAGATATCTCTATTAAATTTTTAAAAAAAATCACTAATTATGTTGTTACAGTCATGATTTTCCCATAGTTTTTGTGATATTGACAGTGTAGCATAGTCAGGCTGTGTCATGGAAGCAGAGCCAGCCTGAGTGTTACAGGAATTAAGGAGCTTGTTACAGGAACTAGACCTTACACAAGCATGGGAGCAGTCAGGGAGGGATGGACTGCCAAGGAGGTAGAGGAGATGTCACTTCCTAAACCTCTTAGTGCCCCAGCATGGATGGACAAGTCAGAGTTTGCAAGGAAATGCAACCACCAAACTGGGACCACAGGGAAGCCATGGAGAGGTCCATGGAAAGGTCCATGGAGAGGTCCATGGAAAGCCACAGCTATCACTTGGTGGGGCAGCAGCCAAGTTCTCAGTGGTGGCCCAGGTGATATTTTAAAGGTGCATTTTTCACATGTTTAGAGTCTTATGTGTCATAGGAACATAGGGTTTTAGAAAGGAAGGAGGCTGTCATTAGAAACTCTGGAATTTACCATCCTCAATAGATGGAGAGAGCCAGACTCAGAGGTAATTAACTTGTCCGAGGGAGAGGAAATGAAGGGGAGATGTAAAATGGATTAAGAGGAGGAGGCATGGCAGAGGGCTTGTTTCTGGAGGGAGTGGGTACTTTGTTCTGAGACCAGAGCTGATGAGGCATTGATAAGGGAGAAGAGGCAAGGCTGAGCAACAGCCAGTTCAAGCCAGCCAAGGCACCAGCAATTACTGGCTGGTGATGCTAACCACTGCTCCAGAGAGGTACCCTGAAAATTATTTGCAGAAAGAAGGAGGACTCAGCTAAAAATATCTCTAGTCAGAGAGATCTTTAGGCACATGGGAGTTGGCCTGTGTAGAGACGTGCCTAGGGTTAGGAGGGAACTTGTGACTCATCATTTGTGCCCACACGGCCTCTAGTTTTACTGAGGAGAGAAAAATGCCCCTAGGAAGCTGAGTAAAAGCTGTTGAAGACAGGACTGGGATTACAAAGCTGGTTTCCTGACTCCAAAGCGTGTGTTCCTCTGATAACACCATTGAACCTAAGCAAACATTGTCTGATGCGTAGAGATCAGAGTGGATGAAATATTTGCAAGGAGGTTAAGTTAGATGATGTCTAAGGATTAGCCCCAAGATTCTGTGATACTGAGTCCTCATTCTCTAATATAGGGAAAAGTGACTGATATGGGAGCTTCCCCAGGTCATTCTCACATTCAGTACCACTGGCACTTTTAGTTCTTTCATCTCTTTCAATAATAACAAAATGTTGTCGAGCCCTACTGTGTGCTTAAGCTTGCATGAAGCTGCACAACTACATAGTGACACAGTTGGGGTAATATTTTGAGACTGCCTACTTTGAGTTCCGTTCATTTGAGACAAGCTCAACCAATCTAATTTTATTAATTAATGTTCAAATCATTGAAAGTATTTGAATAAGAAGTTAAAATTATAGCCCTGAGGTCCCCATACCTAGTCTACTAAACATATCTGCTTCTTTACTGCCCATGATTCGTTGTATCTGAATCAGTTTAAAATCCTGAGAAATAAAGGGCGAAAGCAAATAACCTTAAATACCTTAAGTAACTTATTGAATGAAGCCACAGTACAATTCACTTATAAAGAGGAGATGAATACATATCTGCAGGAAGCTCTTCTTAGAAAAGTTCTATTAAGAGTGATGAAGAGTAGTACCAAAGTAAAGAGAAGACACAAAATGTGCTGAATTTTGTAGGAGACCATTAAATATAGTGCTATCAATTCTATAGCTTACTTGAGCACTAAAATCATCATAAATCATTGTTTAAGTTATCTAATTTCTAGAAAGATAACTCAGAAATAAATAACAATCTCATTCCTAAACCTATAATATCTATAATTGTAATTCAAAGGAGCTATATTTTGTTCTGCTAGAACTGAATTTATTGAGTGTACACTATTTCCACAGATCAAAACCTGAAACAAAATTTTAAATTTCTTCTTAAACAGAACTCAAATGTATGTTTCAGATTAACTCTTAATTCAATAACTTAATAGCAAGAGCACTTCAAATACTGAAGAATAGACATTGATCTAAGTCTACTGTAAGCTATGTTATTAATATTATACTTGCCTATTTGAGTTTTGTAAGCATAAAATCAGATGATAATATGGGTTTGAAGAATATAGAATACAGAATTTTATTAGTTTAGGGATGTTTCCTAAGTTCCAATTGTAATAGAAATACAGATAAGAGAAAAACTTTCTTTTCTAGCTAGGTTTTTAAAATTAGGCTACTTTGTACATTTAAAAATTTCCTAACACTGGATATATTTGATGAAAGCAAAATTAATACATCTAACACACTTATAGGATTATTATCTTGAGTTCCCTTTCTCTCTGTTTTAAAATAGAATATAAAAGCAAAAGTAATATAATAAATATAAAATGCCTGAGCAAACAATTATCTCCACCCTAAGTTTGCATTACAAAAATATCTTAGATTTTTTTACTCATTTTTAGAGAGGAAAGTATTTCCAAAAACATTTCTGACTTTAGCTAAATCAAGATAAAATCAAAACATTTAAAAAGTATGTGAACATTTTTTAACAAGTTAAAAGGAAAAAGCCTAACTCTTTATCAGCTTTTATATTTAACTTACCTTGTGAAAAATCAGGAGATTCTCACTTTAGAGTCCTGTCTGTGCAGTTTCTCCCAAACTCAGCTCTGATGGTGAGTTTTTGCTCTGAGTTTTTATAGTCTCAGTTATACACCCCTTACTCCAATCCCTGCCTTTGCTTTCTCTTACATCATTTCTACAGATTTTCCACTGAACATTTTCCCAAGCTTCTCCTCAATCTCTCTCTCTCTCTCATCCTTTTTCCTCTGTCTTTCCCAGTCTCTATCTCTCTTTCTCTGTTTCCCTCTCCTGTTCTTCCTCTCCATATTTATTCTGTCTACTGCTTTGACCATGAAATTTAAGTAGCAACAGGAGCATGGGCTCCAGAAAATTTACGTATACATTTAGTATTGTGTTCAGCCTTAGACCCATCACTTCTTCCTGAGGTTTTAGTCCAGCTCTGATAATTACAAATCACATTTGGGAAATAAAATGCACTAAGATTTATTAAAAAGAAAGCCACTAGGATATGTCAAAGTAAGATTTAGGGAAACAAAATCAGAAATGCAAACTGATTTATTGATGTATATTTTGCACCCTTAAATAAATGATCATGTATGGAAATGGTGAGTAGTTTCAGCCTCAGTCAGGTGCAGCAGCCCTGTCAGTGAAACTGACAGCTACTTTGTAATTAACATTGCTATACTGGGAAGGCTGTCACTAACAAACCTATAAATACTGAACTGGACATGTGGGCTATAAATGCAGCCGTTGTAATCATTTTTATCTTGCTCTTGTTCTCCAGTATTTTAATTTCCTTTTAACCAAAACATCCCTGCTTGTGTCTGAAATTTTCCTTCATTCCCATTTCCTACTAATCACATTTGTAACTTTACATACACGAATTATAAAAAATAAGTTATTATAAGTTATTAAGTCCTAAAGGTAATATGTTGTCAGATGATTATTAGCTCATTTAATTCACCAGTAGATCCCCATTTAACAGATAAAGAGATTGAGTCTCATGAGTTAATGAGATCACACAGCTAGGAAGTAGCAGCAGAGCCAGATTTCTAACACAGATTGTAATTCCATATCCAGTTTTCTTCCCACGACTTCACTCTGTCTCACTATTTAAAAAGCTGGAAAAGAATCCAAATCAGATTATGTTTTTGCACAAATAGAAATAAATTTGTTCTTTTTGGTTTTGCTTTAAAAGGCATTTAAAATGCTACTCGCTTGTATAGGAACTAGTACATGGTTAATTTAGATCTAGATGGAGAACTGACCAGAGCACACTGAATTGGTGGGACAGTAAAATGCTTCATTTTTGTGAAGGGCTTCCAGGGATAACATATGTCTCAACAAGCTTGAAATTTGAGTAGTTGGCAGTGATAGTTCACAAGTCAAGATAAAAATACAGCCTAATCGTGTCCTTGTTTAGACATTACTGCCATAAAAGAATTATGTTAACTTGAATCCACATGCTGGAAACTCTCAATATAGATTTATCGGACTCATCTTAATGCTACTAGAAGCCAATATTCTTGACGTACCTTCTACCCTTATTTGAAACGCCTCCCTTAGCATGCTGACAAGTGATATCTGTGGCTGATTTATTCCAGATCTGTCCCTGCTTAGACAGTCCAAAGATTCCACCCTATTTGTGGATTTTGTTGACCTAATTCAAAAGTTTGACTTAACTGTTCTTTAGCAACAGTTTATTCCAGGAACAAAACCATGGTACATTTAAGCCATTCATATGGGCTTCTGCACATTATAAAGCCCTATGTAAATGACTTATGCATTTATACATGATAAAGAAATTCTGTTACTTAAAAGAGAGACTAAAGTAGAAGCATATGAAGAAATAGAAAGAGAATAAACACCCAATAACAGATGAAGAGATTAAGATGAAAAAGAGAAAAAAAATTACTGAAAACTTATAATTTAATTCTCATAATAACCTTGCTAATGAGGTATTATTATTCATATATAACAGATGAGAAAACTAAAGCTCAAATATGTGAAAGGGATAGCCCAAGTGCTCACAGCTTAAAATTGATGATGAGAATAGGAGCTGAATCTCGCTTTCTTTATCAGTCAGGATTCTGGCAAGAAACAGGTGGCACATTCAAATTGAGAAATTTGAGAATAATTTAATGTGGGCAGGTGTGGAGGAACCAGAAAGTATCATGCAGTATACTGAACCCCCATTAATAGCCAGGTATTCCTAAACCTGAAGGATTAAAAGTGAGATTACAGGGACCCAGAACGGAGGGATCTTAGTGGAGAAAGTTGCCTGGCAGAAGTGTAACATTTCATCAAGGGACACAGGTAGTCAAGAGTGATCTACAGGGGAGGGAACCTAGGAAACAAACACTGAGATTTCACTTTGCTTCCTGGATACAATCTCCTGTTGTGTTTACCTCTGGTCAAACCCTGAGTGATAAAGGACCCAGCACATTGTTTAACCTCAAAATTGCGCTGAGACATACAAATGGGTTCCTTTGTAGAGATCAACATGACTGCAAATGCCACCATTACCCACACTATTATGCCATACTTCCTAATGCTTTTTTTCAAGTCAGGTTTATTGAGGGATAATTTACATACACACAATTCACCCTTTTAAAGTGCACAGTCTGATGAGTTTTGACAAATGTAGACAGTATGTAGCTTCCACTACAATCAAGATAAAGACCATGTCTATAACACCCCCCTCCCAAATTTCCCTCCTGCCCTTTACAGTCAGTCTTCTACCCCACCCCCAGGTCCTGGTAACCACCAGTCTGATTTTTGTCCCTATAATTTTGCCTTTTCCAGAAGGCTGTGAGAAATTATACAGTATATAGTCTTTGGTGTCTCGCTTCTTTCACTTAGAATAATGCTTCTGACTGAGATTTATCCATATTGTTAAATGTATCAGAACTTGGTTTCTTTTTAATAATGAGAGTGTTCTATTGGATGGATGTGCCACAATTTGCTTATTCATTTACCAGTTGGTGAAAATTTGAGTTGCTTCCAGCTTTTGGTGATTATGAATAAAGCTGCCATAAACATTAATATAGCGGTCTTTGAGTGGATATATGTTTTCATTTCACCTGGGCAAATACATAGAAATGGGATTCCTAGATCATGTGGCAAGTGTATGTTTAACTTGATAGGGTATATAGCCAAACTGATTTCCATAGTGGCTCTACCATTTTGCATTTCCACCAGAAATGTATGAGAGATCCAATCACTCAGCATCCTTGCTAGCATTGGACAGTCATTGCCATTTTCAAAACTTTAGCCATTCTAATAAATGTATACTGGTATCTTATTGTGTTTAATTTGTATTGTCATAAAAGCTAATGATGTTGAGAATCTTTTCACGTACTTACTTCCCCTTTGTATATCTTCTTTGGTGTAGTGTCTGTTTAAAACTTTTGCTTGATATTCAGTTGTGAGAGTTCGCTATATATTCTAGATACAAGAATTTTTATGACTTGTGTTTTGAAATTTTTTCCCCCATTCTGTAGCTTGTCATTGCATTCTCATAGTTTCGTTTCACAGAGCAGGCATTTATAATTTTGATGAAGTACAATTAGCCATCTTTTAAAACTGGAGCATATGCTTTATGTACCCTAAGAAATCTTTCCCTCACTCAGGTTTGTAGTGAGTTTTTTCTTGTGTTTCCTTCTAGAAGTTTTCAAAATTCTTTTGTCTATTCTAGGTCCTTTACATTTCCATATAGATTTTAAGATCAGCTTATCAATGTACAAAAAAGAACTAGCTGGGATTTTATTGGGATTTCATTGAATCTATAGATCAGTTGGAGGAAAAATGACATCTTAAAAGTATTCTGGGGCTCCCCTGGTGGCGCAGTGGTTGAGAGTCCGCCTGCCGATGCAGGGGACACGGGTTCGTGCCCCGGTCTGGGAACATCCCACATGCTGTGGAGCGGCTGGGCCCGTGAGCCATGGCCGCTGAGCCTGTGCGTCTGGAGCCTGTGCTCCACAACGGGAGAGACCACAGCAGTGAGAGGCCCGCATACCACACACACACACACGAAAAGTATTCTGATGTGTGAACATAGTATGTTTCTCTTTCATTTAGATCTTTGATTTCTCTTTACAGTGTTTTTAAATTTCAAAACTGTACAAATCTTGTCTGTATTTTGTTAAACGTATCACTAAATATTTGATGTTTTTTGATGCTATTATAAATGTAGTTTCTAAAATTTCAATTTCCAAGTGGACATTCCTAGTTTACAAAAATACAATTGATTATTGTATATTGATCTTTTATTCTGTGATGTTGGTAAACCTTTTTATCAGTTCTAGTAGGATTTTATAGATTAAACAGGATTTTCTACGTATATAAAATTCTCTTGTTTGGGAAGAAAACCTGTTTTGTATCTTCTGTTTCAACCTGTATGTCTCTTATATCTTTTTAATTTTTTATTGCCTCAGCCAGCTCTGCCAGTGCAATACTGAATAGAAGTGGAGGGTGAACATCCCCACCTTGTTCCTGATCTTGGGGTGAAGAAGGCATTCATTTTTCACCATTAAATATGATAATGTAGGGTTTTTATAGCTGCCCTTTATCAGACTGCAGAAGTTCCCTTCTGTTATTAGTTTTCTGAAAGTGAACTGTAACCTTGCTTTTCTGAGATAAACTCTATTTGATCACAACGTATTATTCTTTTTCTACATTGCTGGATTTGGAGTGCTAAAACTTTTTAAGGATGTTTATTCATGAGGGAGATAGGAGATAGGCTTTTCACTTCCTTAAAATATATTTTTTTAGGTGTTGGTATGAGAGTTATGGTGGTCTCATAAAATGGTTGGGAAGAATTATACCTTGTCTTAGTCCCTTCAGGTTGTTATAACAAAAATACCATAGACTGGAAGGCTTAAAAAACAAGTATCTATTTCTCATGTTCTGGAAGCTGGGAAGTCCAAGAATAAGGTGTCTGACCATTTGGAGTCTACTGGGGGCCTACTTCCTGGTTCATAGATGATGAACTTCTCAATGTGTCCTCACATGACAGAAAGTATGAGAGAGGTCTCTGGGGTGTCTTTTATAAGAGCACTAATTCCATTCAT